GATTGCTAAATGGATCTATCGGAAAATTATCGAATTAACACTTGAATAGAAAAACGAGGGATATGTTTCTCTCGCCCCTTTCCATTTTTTTTTTTTGCCGATCAAACGCAACTAACGCACTAGCTATCAGAGGAGACTTTTAAAATAAAGATGACGCAACGCAGCGATGACGATAACGATAATGATGATGATGACGATGATGACGACGACGACAAGGACAACGAGGACGACGACGAACAACAATGAAAATGATGATGGTGACGTCGGCGACGATAATAACGATGGCAACGACGATCCTTTATCTCTTTGGTTTTCTTCGTGTCGATCTGGAGAACGCGCGTAATAGACTGAAGGTTCTAGCGATGATAGGTGTTACGATAGAAATGCGCCGATGATGGCACCTTCGACAATGACGATCTTCTTTCGTCTGATGGCGATCAGCCTCACGTATCGAAGAGATATGAGTGAATGCTGACGCTGCCGGCGGTTCGAAATTAGGTACACGATGCTGCTGGTCTTTGGACTTTTCTGAACAAAAAGATCGTCTGAGTGCATACAGTGACAGGGCAATTACCAAAATAAAAATCTTATCGATTTTGGAATGGCAATGTATTATCAGCCTAATGCTATTAATTACACTGGTCAACAAAATTTCGGTAACATTGATAAAACCTACATTTTGTGCTTTTCTGTTTTTCATATTTGATATTCAGAAAGTCGTAACACGTCATTTTTGTGCAATTAAAAAGACTTGTATTTTGAAAATCTAAATATGGCAAGTTCTTCCCACAGATTTTGTTTAAATATATGAAATAAATTTTATTATGTGTTTAGCTATTTCATTATAAAATCACAAAGTAGATGGCTTATAAAAACTTTAAAGAAAGCTTCTATATTTCAATCATAAGTTGAAAATCAAAGTAAAATGGGTTTCTCATGTATAAGTCGTCATATTATCTCTTCTCACATAGTTTGGAAAGGAAAGAAAAGAAGAACTTTAAATCCATCTCGCGATATAAAAGTGATTGAAGAAAAATAAAGCGGGTATCCCCCCCCTCTCTCTCTCTTTCTCTCTCTCTCTCAAAAATGACGTCATAATAAATATTTCAATAACACACACACACACACAAAAGAGTTATACGTGCTACAAAATTTTTATTAATATTTTCATATTTAGTAAGCAAAAACCACCTTATTCATATTATCAATAAATTTTTTTATTTGTTGACTAGTGTTATTGATAATAGTAAGAAAACGTAAAAAAGTTAATTTTAAGAACTTCTGAAGTTAAAAATTATGTACACCCACAGACTAAAAGGTTGTGACGCTTTCGATAGGTTTTGGAATGAACTCACCGAGAAATTGGTTGTTACTTATGGATCTATAAATAAGAAAACCCATTAAAAACTCATTGAAAAAAAGTGTTGCATCTTTTAGTCTATGTGTGTACATATCGTTGTATATTATTTCAACACAACAGCGGGCAATCAAATAATAATTACAGCAACTATATACGTGTTAATAAAACGGCTATTCACATATATTCTTATCATTATCTGAACATTCCCAATACAATAAAATATCAAATGTCACGCGTCCTGACACATACCTGGTTTGGCGTTCACAGTCCGAAATATCCACCGATGGTGGTAGCGACGACAACGCCCAATACGGCGAGGCAAATCATGATCATGATCTTCTTCTGCATTCGGCATTAACAGAGATCGTTAAAGTTTAATATAATTTATTATAAACCTTTCTCTGTCTGTCTGTCTGTCTCTCTCTCTCTCTCTCTCTCTCTCTCTCTCTCTCTCTCTCTCTCCCTCTCTCTCTCTCTCTCTTTCTCCCTCTCTCTCTCTCTCTCTCGCTCTCTCTCTCCTAACTCTCATTCCTAAATTTCTTTATTCTTACATCTATTTCCTCTCACTCTTTCTCTCTCTTCATCTGCCTCCTATTCTGTGTGCTCTCTGTCCATTGTTAATACATTACACATTACATTACACATTACAACTGTTTACTTATCGATCGATTATATAGTAAAATACCTGAAAGAAATAAGCTCTTGCTCGTTGCCGGCACGGCGATGATGCACGTTGCAATGGCCTGCATAAAAAATGATGCATGAGTATGTAACTGTGATATATATCCGACGGAAATAGCAATTGAACGGCTGAGAGAGCAATTGAACTCTCACAAAGTGTAGACTTCCGATTTTTTAATTGAATTGCTTCAACGGTTAGGATATGATGTAATTCTAATAAGTAAGTAACTTTTAACTTACTACGTTTTCAATTTTGATAATCTTATCTTCAATGTGTATATACAAGACGTCACAAATTTTTTATCAAAGAACGACATTAAATCTTAACTAAGAAAAAATCGCTCCAAAATTTTTTACTTCGACTGGCCGAAAAATTTAGAGATGATAAAAAGTGCGAGAAATCTGAAACGCCTTGTACATGAGAAAAAGTAATTAATCATAGAATTGACACTATTCTGTCCGTATTTAAAATTTTTCGCGATATTATCAGTAATGAAATCTCTTTTTATTGTATCTAATAGAGAGAAATAAGATAGAAATTAAAGGTGATCAAAGAAATCAGTTTCAATCGGAAAAAAAAACAGGAATACAGACCTTCATTAATCGACATCGTTAACGTCCGTTTTCTTCCAAGAATTTCCTCTTGTTTCCGTGCAGCTTGAACGGTGCATCTTCTCAATAAGATTCTTTTCTAATTTATTTTATCCGCTTTTCTCTCTCCCTATCTTCGCAGCAAGCATACTCCGCCAAGGAAATTTATATCTAATATCCACCATGAATTAATTCTCGATCGAACGCATTGATGTTTCTTTTCTCTTATATCTTGTATAAAACGCGACATGAATTCTATTATTTTCGCAATTCTACTATCATTTCATACGGTCTCCGCTAATTATATTACATCTCATTTTATTCGCACCTGGTGTTGTTACTAACAAATAATTTCCTTTTTGTTTCTTTCTACACGAGGTGGCAAGTACAATAAAGACGACAGAGAAACAAAGACATACCGCCATTCTCCTATCTATGTATAACCGTTTCTTTTTTTTACGCTGAATACATCCAAAGAAGAAAATGTTTATTATACTATCGGCTTTAATGATTAATATTGTTATTCTTTTTTTCGTTACCTCGTTATTATTATTATTATCATCTGCTCTATACAAATTACGATTATTTACATGTACAATGCCACGGGCCATTATCGTGTCGTGCGGTCTGCATTGCGACGACGGTGATCGATATCTAAGTATTCATTGGAGCATACATACGTATCGCGAAACACGTCGTTATCACGCGGATTAATGTCCCGACCGAGCAGAAATTCTCGCATCCAGACAAGAATTAAAGTACGCGGGCGTGAAGAAGATAACGTCTCTGTCACATTTCGCACAGAAACGATAGATCAGTTCTGGAACAAATACGGAAGCGTCGAACTCCAACTTGCGCCGCCCGCGCCGATTCAAATTGCCTTTTCTATTATCTAGAGCAAGCTTCTCCAACATTTTGCTTGTAAACTAAACGTTTTACTTAACGAGAGGTGAAAGCGTTTATAGTTTGCTGGTAAAGTGTTGGACAAATCTGATCTAAAGAGTATTGCTGACTTAATGATATCAAACGAATCTGCGGCGACAACAAACAATTTGCGCCGACACCAAATACCAATTTCGACAAGAACGAAGATTGAAAATTGAAGTCGAATATTTTCGCGCTCGTTATAGCTACGTCCCAAGGATTTTTTCTTAATCGACATTAAGAGATCTCAATATAAAACTGGAAGAATTTAACGAATAGATTTTTTTTTAAATTAAATTTACTATGATAATTTTTGCCTTCGTGTTTCAATTTTTATTTATTCATTTAGAGAACGGAATTATGAGAGTGAGAATTCTGAATATAAAATATGTTGAGATCTTATTTTAGTGATTCTGAACTGCTTTATAGATTGCTGACATTTAACAATTTCTCCTTCAGTGACACGGTAGTCAAGATCAATATTCGTTGGTGATAAATATAGAAAGAGAAATGAAAATCACGAATGGTTCAGTTTGCTGTCGCTGCATTTCGTATCAAATCGATGACGAGCTTCGTTTGAAGACGATTTGGAAAAGGGCACATGTGTTCGATCTCGTATGTCGCGCGTGATTTTCGATTGTGCAATCGCCATCGTTATTACTTGCTCGCGTCAGAACTTGTATAAGAACGATGAAGTGGCAAAAATAATAAAAGTGAAAAAAATAATAAAAGGCAGTGCGAAGATACGCCTGAATGCGAGGAAAAGCTATCAGTGATGGCGATCTCCATTCCATTCCAAAGAAAACACCGACTTCGATCATTTTTCTCGACATTTCTTATCTCCATTTCTACGATTTAACGCAAACTTGCAGTGCACGCATTTTAAATAAACACAATATTTAATTTGTACAAGCACTATATACGTATATATATATATATATATAGACT